TACCTCTCCCCCCAGCTTAGTGTCATCTCCGAACTTGCTGAGGGTGCAAGCCATCCCATCATCCAGATCATTAATGAAGATGTTGAACAAAACTGTCCCCAGGACAGACCCCTGGGGCACTCCGCTTGATACCGGCTGCCAACTAGACATGGAGCCATTGATCACTACCCGTTGAGCCCAACGATCTTGCCAGCTTTCTGTCCACCTTATAGTCCATTCATCCAATCCATACTTTTTTAACTTGCTGGCAATACTGTGGGAGACCGTATCAAAAGCTTTGCTAAAGTAAAGATATATCACGTTCACTGCTTTCCCCATATCCACAGAGACCGTTATCTCATCATAGAAGGCAATTAGGTTAGTCAGGCATGACTTGCCCTTGGTGAATCCATGTTGATTGTTCCTGATCACCTTCCTCTCCTCCAAGTGCTTCAAAATGGATTCCTTGAGGTCCTGCTCCATGATTTTTCCAGGGACTGAGGTGAGGCTGACTGGTCTGTAGTTCCCCGGATTCTCCTTCTTCCCTTTTTAAAGATGGGCACTATTTTTGCCTTTTTCCAATCGTCCAGGACCTCCCCTGATCGCCACGAGTTTTCAAAGATAATGTTCAATGGCTCTGCAACCACATCAGCCAACTCCCTCAGATGCATTAGATGCAGCCCATGGATTTGTGCATGTCCAGCTTTTCTAAATAGTCCTTAACCTGTTCTTTCACCACTGAGGACTGCTCACCTCCTCCCCATACTGTGCTGCCCAGTGCAGCAGTCTGGGAGCTGACCTCGTCTGTGAAGACTGAAGCAAAAAAAGCATTGAGTATTTCAGCTTTTTCCACATCATCTGTCACTAGGTTGCCTCTCCCATTCATTAAGAGTCCCACACTTTCCCTGACCACCTTCTTGTTGCTAACATACCTGTAGAAACCCTTCCTGATACCCTTCTTGCTACCCTTCTGATCCCTTGCTAGCTGCAACTCCAATTGTGCTTTGGCCTTCTTGATTACACCCCTGCATGCTCGAGCAATATTTTTATACACCTCCCTAGTCATCTGTCCAAGTTTCCACTTCTTGTAAGCTTCCTTTTTGTGTTTAAGCTCACCAAAGATTTCTCTATTACGCCAAGCTGGTTGCCTGCCATATTTTCTGCACATCGGGATGGTTTGTTTCTGCGCTCTCAATAAGGCTTCTTTAAAATACAGCCAGCTCTCTTGGACTCCTTTCCCCCCTCATATTAGCCTCCCGGGAATCCTGCCCATCAGTTCCCTGAGGGAGTCAAAGTCTGTTTTTTCTGAAGTCCAGGGTCCATATCCTGCTGCTCTCCTTTCTTCCTTTTGTCAGGATCCTGAACTCATGGTCACTGCTGCCCAGGTTGCCATCCAATTTTGCTTCCCCTACTAATTCTTCCCTGTTTGTGAGTAGCAGGTCAACAGGAGCATGGCCCCTAGTTGGTTCCTCCACCACTTGCACCAGGAAGTTGTCCCCAACACTCTCCAAAAACTTCCTGGATTGTCTGTGCACTGCTGTATTGCTCTCCCAGCAGATGTCAGGGTGACTGAAGTCCCCCATGAGAAACAGGGCCTGTGATCTGGAAACTTTTGTTAGTTGTCCGAAGAAAGCCTTGTGTTCCTCATCCTCCTAGTCTTGTGGTCTATAGCAGACGCAGACCACGACATCACCCTTTTTGCTCTCGCTTCTAAACTTAACCCAAAGACTCTCAACAGGCTTTTCTGCATGTTTCATATTGGAGCTCTGAGCAATCATACTGCTCCCTTACATACAATGCAACTCCTCCACCTTTTCTCCCCCACCTGTCCTTCCTGAACAGTTTATATCCATCCATGACAATGCTCTAGTCATGTGAGTTACCCCACCAAGTCTCTGTTATTCCAATCACATCATAGTTCCTTGACTGTGCCAGGACTTCCAATTCTTGTTTCCCAGGCTTGTTTCCCAGGCTTCTTGTGTTTGTGTACAGGCACCTAAGATAACTAGCCGATTGCCCTGCTTTCTCAGTATGAATCAGGAGGCCTCTCCTGTTGCACCGTCCTCCTTGTGTTTCCTCCCTGTATCCCACTTACCTCTGGGCTCCCCGAAGGAAAACCTTCCCCCGGCAAACCTAGTTTAAAGCCCTCCTCACTAGGTTAGCAAGCCTGCCTGCGATATCTCAGTATGTATCATACAAGATATCTTAATATGTATCGTAATTGCATGTTGTAACGCTATCAGGCAGTAATTGCAAGAAAGTAATATCTGTCAGCATTAGAATACTCCTTAGGGATAAATTAAGCTTATTCAAGAACTTTGGTCTTGAGAATGAGAGATGAAGATACTGAAGACCCAGCTAAAAAGTTTTCATTCCTTGACTCCTTTCTAAATGAAAGATTATACCCTCTACTTATTACGCAGAGATTAAGGTCTGTGCAGTAGAGCCACTCCAGTAGGCAATATCTTAACACACAAGTGCTTTTGCCGTCCACTCATCAGCCAATAGTACAAAACTGCTCCAAAACCCAGCTGTTACACCGGCTCGAACGGTTTGTACATTGTAAACATAGCACCATGTCCACCAGTGCACACAGTTGGAAAAAATGTCATACAGATGATAACGGCATCTCTGCTGGATAAGCATGCAGCCTACAGACGTGAGGGTGAAAATCTCAGGGCAGAGGTTTCTATGGAGGGCTACGCACCACTATTGCCACAGGATTAGCCCCATTCCTGCCACTTTCAGGGATGAGTACACATCATCTCTTTAAATCAGGTTTGTCTCCTATGAAGGAGTAACACGATGGCCCAGCACGGATCCTCCTAGAAAACAGCCACTAAGATTATTCCTGCCTGAGAAGGCAGCTTAAAATAGGAAGGGAGAGATGGAGTCCATTGTTCAAACATTAACCAACCCCTAATTTTGTATCTGGTGCCTAGATTCCTGAGTGACATGTGCATTAGAAATGCAGACAGAAATGCTGCATGGGATGCCTTTGAACGGTGTTATTACTAGATTACATAAAGTGAGGGTGCCATGCTGATCACAAGTGACCAATTTGCTCTCGATTGAAAGGGAAACTTTATCCCTGCTCTCGACTTTTCTGTATTTAGTGAAGCAGCAAGAAACCAGTTTTTATTGCATTAAGCTGACTGCAGGAAAAAATATATTTCTGCTAATATGCAAAGAGAGGTGGTCATGTGATCCTGAAAAGAGAAGACTTAATAGTGAGGAAGTGAAATGTACAGCTTTAAGCAATCCCTGCAGCTTTTAAGGATTACTTTAGTAAATTTTAACCTTAGGTATTTTTCTCCCCCAAAATGCATGCATCAGCCAATGATCCAGAAGCCATAAGAAGAGAGAGTTTATCATGGATAGTTAAGAGCTACAGATGGCCTTTCATTAAATTAGCTCATTTATGTGACTGTGCAGTCTATTTGTTAGGCAGATATAGAAGTACCACACAATGCAATGAATTGTGTCTGGTTGAAGATGGCACACACAAAGCATTCTTTTTCTCAGTAAGGTATGCCAGCTTTCTATTAGTGATTATTAAATGCCTAGTTGTGAGACATTTAAGAAACTATCTAGTTATCCTACTGCGCTTAGCCTCACTACTGTATCTGAGTGCCTAGGGTAACACCAGCAAACTTATTAAAACTGTAAAGAGTTGGGTGAATGTGGGAGACTCATTTTTGGAACACACTTCAGCTTGGAGGAGAACACCATCAACTGAAAAACTCCTCATTTAATCTTTTTTTAGTATTTCTTTTCCTTATACCTCAGAAGCTTAAACAGAAATTTCACTTTCAAAACAAAAACTGAGCTCCACCAGTTTTGCACCGTTTGTTTTTTGGTGCGAAAACTCAGAAAATGGGAGCAGTTAATTATAACGCCCCCCCTCTCTGAGCAGCTACTCTGTACACCTACTTAGCCTGGTATTTGCTGATTCACATGCACAACCTAGTCATGTTCCCACTCTGCTCTGGAAACTACATGCCCTTGTTTCCTGCCAGTCCTTAAAGGAGCAGGGTTAGATACAGATTAACTGTTGCTCTCATGTGTCATTGAACATGTGATTATCCTCAGGTATTATGCCAAGGATAGGGAGTGCAGCAAAAATATTCTGTGCATATGAAATTAGAAGTATGCTACTTATTGCTTTTATTAGCTCTGACATACTTTTACCCCAGCTCCTCCTAGCAACAACCACTTCCTTTCCAACCCACAAGATACTACGGCTCCCCACGAACCCTCCCTGCATGCTAAAGAAATCACTTCCACCCCCAAAAGCCATGCTCTCCTCACCCACTAAATCAACAGAAGCTTCCCCTACCAAAACCCCGATAAATCCAGATTTCACCCTTTTCCCTTATCTTCAGCACAACACAATCTAGATTACTTCCTGCACCTCTTGATCCCCTTTCTTCTCTCACAGGTATCCCAGGTTCCCTTAGCCTTCCATGTCACCTAGCTAGCAAGCCTCAGAGAAGCATGATGTCCCCTCAAAGAGTACAAAGCAGAGATGGCATTCTTGACACCACCAGAATCCACTTTGAGGGACTGGCACAAGTACAAGTCAAACCCCTCCACCCCTTCATTATCTTTAACAAAATAACCCAGTGCTGCCCCACAGGCCATAGTGTATTTTGGGGGTCCACAGCTCTCCGCTCAGATTTGACTTTCATGGGGTGGCTGGAACTCCCCATAATAGCAGGTTATTGAGGACTCACAGCCCAAATGCTGGATGTCTTTGGGGGTCAAGTGACAGATCTGAGTACGCCAGCCCACATCTGAACCTGCCATGCAGGCTTGTGCACCTTGTTTAGGTCACTCAAGCCAAAAATTTAATGAAAATCAAATTACACATGGCTTTTTCTTATGGAACCAAAGGGCACAGACTATTGTATATGGCTGGGCTTTTTAAGCTGCTCTTCCTTTTGAGATCTAAAAAAGCCCGTTATCCTTTGAACAAGAGAAAAGCCGTGATTGTCCATGCATCAGCAACACCACCTTACCTCTCCCACGGCCACGCTTCCCACGGTCTGAAGGCCTCTCCCCTTGACTGTTGTCCACTCCATTCTCTTCTACTCGAACTGGGGAGAGAAGACAGAAGATTGACAGGGAAGGAAATTTTCATCTTTACATTTGTAAGAGGTTTGAAAACAATGGAGAGTAGCAAAAGATTGTGTAGCTCACAAAAGCACGGAAATAAATTGCTGGATTTTCAGAGGTGCTGAGCTGGTACAGCAAGTGAGGTAGAGGTGATGGGAGTTGTGGGTGCTCAGCACCTCTCAAATCAATACACTTATTTAAGCATCTTAAAAATGGATTTGGGTGCCTAAATGAAAGTTCATAAATCTTGGGCCCCGGCATTGTAGAGTGGAGTGGGGGGCAGGGGAGATCACCTTTCAGCAGGAACCCCACCTGGGGCTATAGGGGGAAATATGGGGCAACAGGAGCTCTGCCACTCTTTGGTGCATCACACTCTGTCCCTGGCCTGCTCTGCTGACCTGTCTGAAGGAGGACAGGGTCATGACCTCACCACTCTGAGGAGGCAGGTACTGTGGCTAGCCTTAAACTGAGCCTTCCCTACCCAACTACATTCTGATTGTCCCTTGTGAAAGAACCAGGAGGACCTAGAAGGGGGTGGGGAAGAAGCCTCCCGTCTCATGCCTTCCCTTTCCCCCACCTCACACCCAGAGTCCACCAGAATCTGGTCCTTTACATTTAACCTGCATGGGACACAATGTTTTTTGTTGTTTTACAAGAGATCTATAATTACGTTCCGTGGAAAACCTCTGGCTGTATGTTTTGAAGTGTCAGCTGAAATCCAAAGGAGGGGCTCCCTGAAGGAAAATAATGACTCTCACCACTTACTACAGCACTTGTTCTTGTTAAATGGAGACTGTGCACTGCACGACTTGTATTCAGCACTGCAGTGGGGACGTAACTATGTGCACATAAAGGTGCAGTGAGCACATTTTGCAAGATTTAGAACCCATTTGAAAGCCTTAAATTCCAGATTTAGCACAGAGCCCAAAACTTGAAGGCCAAGCTGCATTTGGCTCTGGCAAACGAATTCTGGGCAGCTACTTTTTTGTTTTGGTGGATTAGGGCTTGTTCACATGGTCAGTTAGTGTTCAGCCAGCCAGGGTGTTAAAGTGCAACGCTTCACACTGCTGCCCGCTAACAGGTCAGGACCCTGCTACCGTGCACTAGAAGTTCCATAGTGCATGGCAGTAGGGTCCACATGGTCAGTTAGTGCATGGCACACTAGAGCGCTATACGTTCACACTCTGGCTTACCATGCACTAAGTCTCTGTGTGGACAAGCCCTGATATTCCCTTATTTGCTCTAAAAGCAACTTGCAAATTTCATTAATATCCTCTATACATCATCTTCCAGATCATTAAATGAAACAGCCTCTAGATACTATTCTATTCTATGTAAGTTCTTACAGCACCCAGATCACTGCAGCATCTGAGGGCCTTCCAGTAGTGCATTAAGCAATGTGATTAACATCTGTCACATGTGGTTCATTCACTCTCATCATCTCTCCAAGGGGAGAATTGTGCATGCAGTGTACTGTTTTGTATGGGTACGGGTGGAGGTTTTTTTTTTAAATGTACGTATATATTTTCATATGGACTTTGTATGTATTTTTTTTTAATAATATGGTTGGGGCACTTTAAGAAATGGCTTAAATAATGGGTAACATACTCAAAGGTGATCTAATGCAGTACTACCTAACTTTGGAAATAGCGTTTGCAGCATATTAGCACTCTTTTGTGCAATGTATTAGAATCACTGCCCTTGAATAGACTGTGGTAATTCTAATAATGTTTAGGTTCACACCGAACCCTTTCTATTTGCGTAGAAGCTTATCTTTTGTGCATGTGTGCCCTTATAATTAATCCCCAGAATATACCAAGGCCTTTTCATTTTCCCTTAAGGGGAAAAACATTTCATAAAACTCAGACTACCCTCAGGTTCTCCCACTCATATGACATGGAATCAAAACTTGGCTATTTGCTTGTTAAAAGAAACATATGGAAAATGTATCAGGTTTTATCTGCTCTACAATGCTCAACATACAGTCCTTACAAAAGTTCTATTCCAAATTTAAGTGCCGAACAGCAACTCTCAAAAAATCATGTGATCATAAAAAGGCAGAAGATATTAAAAATAAATTCAATTTGCCTCTAAAAAGATAAATCAAAAATAAATTATCTCAAAACCAAGACAAGTAACAGCATCCTGCATACCTGTTGCCAAAAAAAAAACAAATGCAGTAACTCAGTCACCACACTGAGGCTCTGCTGGACTTTATTCCACTAGATCCTCTTCTCTTTCATAACTCAACCAATTTGAGCTGCAAGAAAGAGAAAGACTAAGGCGACTAGAGCTTTAAAAATGAAGGTGTCTGTGCTTACATTCTCGGCCACGGCTGCCTCCTCTTCCCCGTCTGTTGGAGCTTCCCCGTCCACGGCTCACTTCTCTGTCCCCTCGCTTTTCTCTGTTCTCTTTGTTTTCTGAACTCTCTTTTCCAAGGCTTTTCTTCTTTCCCCCTACAGTCTCCCATGAAGTCTATTTGGGTAGAGAAGTATTAGACACCACAGATCAAAAAGCAGAGATAACCACAGCCAACTTTGCAAAACTTTCCAGCCCAAACCCCAATTCATAGATAAATGGATCTTATGTGTATAAAGCCATAGATGTATGTGATGCTTTTCACATGCTAAACTAGGACAGAGAGCAAGGAAGACATCACTCTGTGAGGGGGAAGAGGATACAGCTTTTTGAGAGCAGGTTTTCCCATGGAACATAGGTAGCATGCATTTAATAACTCAACTCTTTCTGGCTACAACTGAGTCGGGTTACTTTAAAGAAGTCTAGGTAGACAGCATAGTAGAAAACCTTCTAAAAGGTAGGTATTCATCCTCTCAACTGTTTTCAGAAGTCTGACTGGAAACAAACAGGACTAAATCATTCCATCTCTCAACAGGTCAGGGGAGAATGCATATTTGCAACAAGGAGAAAGAGGTCAACGAGAGAGCAGATGGATTAGAAAATAAAACAAACGAACTTGGCTTTCTTGGAATCTAAGCACTGATGATCAGAGTATCAGAACAGCAGCTTGGGTAAACTGGGCCAAAACAAGTCAGCCCATTATGCCCAAGGACTGCAGCACATCACGTGTAGCATTGCTGTGTTCAGAAACTGCTGCAACATCCAAGCAAGAGAAAGAATCAAGGCTTGAACGTCAGACCTCTGCTCTCCTCTTAAATCCACAGTTAAATTCAGGATTCATGTCAGACCCTTAGGAATTACAAAACATTTGTAGGAGTTTAAAAAGAAATAGCTAAAAAAAAACTTCTCAGAATAATATGGCAGTTGATAATATATTATGTAATTGTATAATTAGGCTATTGAGCCATAGTTACAAAGCAAGGGAGAAAAATTAAAATTTATTTGCACAGTGTCAATGTGCTAAGCACTTTATATACAGTTATGAAAATGAAGTCCCTGCCTCAAAGAGCTTACAGTCTAGACAGACAACATAGAAACAGAGGGCAATTTATACCTCCAGCCCCCATTTGGAATGCTGGATGAAGCTGTGACCTCAAGAGAAGTAATGGTACCAATCAGAATGAAGACAAAGTATGGCTGCCATTAACTCTAGGTCCTGCCCAGACTCTCCTGAACTACCCAGGCAAAGTTTCCATTCAGCTCAAATCAAAGTCCCCTCTCCTGAGGATGAGCTGTGACAAGCTAACCAATGCTGGCTAGACAATGCAAAAGTCCCAAATGTTATCAAGGTAGCACAACAAACTGAATACTGTAATGCTTTAAAAGTAAAAAAAAATCAAAAATAGTCTGTGCTTCAACTTCTCCATTGGAAAGAGTTAGCACTACAAGAAGTTACTCCGGTGGCTAGCTGATGGGGGGGGGGGGGGGGGGGGGGGGGGGGGGGGGGAGAAAGAAGAGTGATAGTCACAATCCTATTTCAATTTCTTCTCAGGTGCGAGAGGCTGAAGTATCATAGGTTTGGGCTTCTCCTAAGCTGACAGAAGACATGGACTATGAGTTGCTCATCAAACAGGTGACAGAACATGCAAAGGATATTAGTTTATATGTGGTGGAAAGCTTGATTCTCCTCCAATACAGGAGGATTACCATTAGGTTCCAAGCGCTATGGTGGATGAAGCCTATTTACATGCTGAAATCCTGAGAAAGTTTGAGACATCTCTGAAAGGAAAGAAAATCCCACAGGGCAGACAACTTACAAGTCACCCTAAAAGGGGTGGGTCTCAAAAGGAGCTGTCGTTAAGTTTGCTCAGGCATAAGCTGTATGCAAAGACGAACAAAAGTTGGGTAGTGGCAAATAGAGGCCTTTAAAAATTCCTGTCTATCTATTCTATTTCCTAACAAGTCGGTGGAATCGGTGTCCCCCAATATGAGAAGAGATGTTTTGCTGGAAACAGAGGCTACTGCAGAGCCTACTTCAGAAGCAGAGGATCACAGTTCCTCCTTAGTGAGAACTAACCTGAATTGGTGGGAAGACTAGAATTCCTGCTGAAACTGTTCAGGTGTTAATGAGTGTGTTAAGTAACAGGTGTAGAGTTATGGAGCAATCAAGTCCTTCCTTCTCCGCTCATAAGAACTTCCCCTAAAGTAATAGCTGAAGTGGAGGGTTTCATTAAGCCATTTAATGCTACTTATGCACAGAAAGAATAATTCCTCTAGAAGGAAATGCCGAGAGGAGTCTGGGTTTCCCTAGGGATGTCTTCTAAGGCTAATGCTGGTATCTCCCTAAGAGGGAACATCTTAGAGGAGAGGAAAGCCAGCATCAAGGTAACTCACTGCCAGTAACAGTCTGTTAATGAACAAAGTTTTCAGCTGACCTTGTCTGAAGCAGTCCAAGCGCCAGCTGCAGATCTGATCTTGGGCAGCAATGTAACAAAAGAGGCCTGTCTTTGGTGAAGTTATTGGTCTTCGCTTAAGTGGCAGGATGGATTGTTTGAAGGGCCAGCTTGGCACTCTAGCTTTAGAGGATTTAGCCAGCAAAAGAGCTAGTCAGGCATGAAGACAGAGGCTGACCATTTGAGTAATATCCCCAGCTGAAAAAATAGTCAGACAAAGGAACATTGCCTAATCCCTCCGTAGATTCTGTACACCCAGAAGAGACCGTAAGAACTACTGGAGACGGGGATCTTCATAAAGCAATTATCAGACAGCCAGATGGTATGGAGGCCTCAGTTCAAAGAAGCTCATTGGCAGTCTTTTGGATGCTCTACAAATAGAACTTTTAACCATATTTTCTTGCTTTGCGGACATCTTGGCCGCATTAAATAGATTGCTTACAAGTTACATCAGCCCTTTAAGTGTAGCATATATGAACTAGAATCCCATGACAACATTTGACATCCTATAGTGTCTTTCAACCAAAGACCTCCAATGCACTGATATTATTGATGCATGCTGAATCTTTCTCATTTCACCTACCACTGGAATGGAGCCACCTGTGGGGCAGTTTGTAGCAACACTACTACACAACAGATAAGGACAAAGACGACTCTGCCCAACCAAAAAATTCCTCCTGCAATTAGGTGGACAGAAAAACTTCTCCAGCTGAACTTTAACCAGAATACTAAAGCAAATGCCCTCATGGTAACAGAGTGACACAGTCTAAGATCCAATTTTCTCCTCTCTCATTTAACAGCAGCAGCTGGCTTTAAAGTCCTTCTGTGGCAAAGCATGGTGCTACTGTAATTCTATGGCTGCCAAGGCTGGCAGTGTGGAAGCATACTCTTGTAGAGGGAAGGCTGGGTAGACAGTACCCTGTTCTCAAGATGTATCCTCGGTGAACTACCAAGAGATTGCTTCAAAAATAATTGAGAAAGGTGGTGAATATGCACAGCAGCAATTTTTAAGAGCAGCTTTAAATCCTTTCATTTCATGTAATAAAAAAGTGTATACTGAGAAACTTGAAAAACGCTGCTATTTATGACACCAGTACTGGTTCCCAGCAGGCAGGCTCAGAACTACACTGATGTACAACCATCCAAGCCTTTCGCACTTCTCTATGGCGAGCGACAGATTTGGAGTGGCTCTCCGAAGGGTGGAAGTGCTATGCTAAACTATCAGAGTGCTGGCTACCTGGCTTCCAGAAAACTTCTCTTTCTTGAGCTAACTATCTAATTTGCTAAACAGAGAAAACATTCATAGAGACCTCAGGAGGTCATCTAGTCCAACCCCCCACTCAAAGCAGGACCAACACCAACTAAATCATCCCAGCCAGGGCTTTGTCAAGCCGGGCCTTAAAAGCCTTTAAGGATGGAGATTCCACCACCTCCCTAGGTAACTCATTCCACTGCTTCACCACCCTCCTAGTGAAATAGTGTTTCCTAACATCCAACCTAGACCTCCCCCACTGGAACTTGAGACCATTGCTCCTTGTTCTGTCATCTGCCACCACTGAGGACAGCCTAGCTCCATCTTCTTTGGAACCCCCCTTCAGATAGTTGAAGGCTGCTATCAAATCCCCCCTCACTCTTCTCTTCTGCAGACTAAATAACCCCAGTTCCCTCAGCCTCTCCTCAGAAGTCATGTGCCCCAGCCAAAGAAGCAAGTATTTTCAACATGAAGACCATGAACACTCAAACTTTTAAAGTCAGATTGAAATCAATACTTGCTGTCATTAAAATGTAAATTTTTTTTTTGTTCCAAGTACTCCTCTACCCCGATATAACACTGTCCTCGGGAGCCAAAAAAATCTTACTGCATTATAGGTGAAACTGCGTTATATCGAACTTGCTTTGATCCACCGGAGTGTGCAGCCCCTCCCCCCCTGAGCTCTGCTTTACCACGCTATATCCGAATTCGCGTTATATCGGGTCGCGTTATATCGGGGTAGAGGTGTATGTATTTGGTCCCTGAGAGATACCCAAGACACTCATTCAAGGTATGTTGCTTTCTGCTAGTCTTGATTTAACCACCTATTGTGCAGCAAGCAATAGTTAAGGCTACGATTTAGTCATGGGTATTTTTAGTAAAAGTCATGGACAGGTCACGGGCAATAAACAAAAAGTCATGGCCAGTGACCTGTCCATGACTTTTACTAAAAATACCCTTAACTAAATCTTAGGTGCTGGGGGTGTGCTCCAGCGGACGGTGCTGCTCTGGGGGACCAACTGCTTGGGGCCGCCCAAGCAGCGGCTGGTGCCACTGGCCCCGGGGCCTATCCCAGCTGTTTGGACGACCCTGGGGTCAGCCGCACCAGCCATTGCAGCTGCAGAAGGCAGAGAGGTCCCGGAAAGTCACATGACCTCCATGAAAGACTCACAGCCTTAGCAATAGTCCACTTCAGAAGACCCCTACATTTAGACATAGGCTGGGCAGAGTAAGGTTTGTTTGTGATTGTTACCTGCTTACTTAAGCATTTCCTGTCCTCTCAACTAGAAACAGATCCCAGTTTGTGACCCCTACGCTTTAGAAGCTGAAACAGGAATAACTGGCTTATAGCAACATCTAAGCAGGACATGTCTTTGCACTGACTCGTTACAGGAGAGATAAAGGAAGAGGGTTTAAAAAAGAAATGAAGTCCAGGGTTCCCTTCCCAGTTAGGATGAGATGAGGAAGCAGACTGAATCCCATCTTATAAATTTAAAAGGCTTTGCAGGAACAACTTCACTCACATTAAGACTCTTGTCCACTACTTCTTGGGACAAGAAATTTGTGTTACTCCATGTATTATTAAACACATTTGGAGATATTCCTCTGCCCTCCTCTTAAAGGGATTCTCATTAATGAGGTTATTAGTGAAACAAGTAGCTATTTGCCATGTCCTACTGTTCCATTATTAGAGTTTGAACTGTAACTTCTCAGGGCACAGACCTCATCTTAATTTTACACTTGCTAAGTGCAGTGCGCACCTATGGAGCGATACAGTATATCTACAAGTGGCTCCTTCTCCTGTTACAGCAGTGAAAATTGGCTATTCATGGCAAACACACAAGGCTGTTTACTCTGGACCATCTCCAACTGCCTGAGACACCAGACTTATTACAGACATGGCAGCACATAACACTGCATTTGCCATTAAGTGGTTTTATTTATATGAAGTTTTAGTGTCTATCACAGAGGGACCCAGCAGTAAAGTGACATGACAGCAACAATGTTTTCAAAGCTTAGTTTGGGGTTTGGGTGTTTTGTTGTGCATGCCTGAGTTTTGTTTTTTTAAACTTTTTGTTAAGGCAAAGTCACAATAAAACATTAACACACTACATCATACATCAGGATCAGGTTAGTATTCAAAGAACCTGGCTAAAGATTCTGGCTTACTGGCTGGGAAGCCCTCCTCCTCTGAGCATGCTAAAAAGGGTGACCAAATGTCTCAATATCTATGCTCCCTTTTGCGCTTCTTTTGTGTACATACTTGGCATGAAAGATTTTTTTCACTCCAAGGACAGTCCAGATTTTACTATACCAATATGTGAGTGAGAAGTCTCCCCAGTCTTCATTTCTTTTTTAGGGAGAGCTGGAAGGAGATAGAGAGATTGGAGGCTCCTGAGGTCAAGTACTTGATTGTTCCCCCACAATCCACTCCTTGAAAGTAGAAAAAAGGGACCATAACAAAAATATGCTGTTTTGTTCACAAGTGGATCCTTACTGTGTCTGAGCTTCCTTCCAGCAGTATGTTGATTGCTCTATTCACATCCCCATTACAATCATGTAGCGCCACTATGCATTCATCCTGGTTCTTCCCCGTCACTTCCATAAGCTGGTAAAAAAAAAAAAGTTGCAGACACATTAGATACCAAACCATTATTAAAAGGAATAAGGCAAGAATTAGTGCTACTACAGACTCTCCCAAGAACATCACTGCTGTACCAAAGACTAATTGAAATGCAGTGTTTATAATATATATATTTTAAAGAACTGCTTGAGATCCCAGTGTCACTAACACCACACTTGCAGACATACAGGACAAATAAATATATTTTAAGAGTGACCTAAAAAGCCTTACCTTTGCCAAGATCTGAGCTCAGGTTTCTGTGTGTGATTTTTATTTATATTTATAACTTAGGGCAGTGGTCCCCAAACTGTGGGTGTGCCCCCCTAGGGGAGCATAGAGGAATGTTTGGAGAGTGTGAGGGGGCCAGGCCAGCCCCTATGGGGGGCAGGGAAGGAGCACCATCCAGCCCCACTCTGCCCCCCAGCTCCACTTTGGCTCCGGCCCCAGCCCAGGCCATGGCCTTGGCTCCCAACCGCAGCTCCCGCTCCCAGTCCCTAGCCAAAGCCTCGGCTTTGGGCCCTGGCCCCCAACCGCAGCTTGGCCCCACGCCTGGCTTGCAGCCCCAGCCCCTGCTCCCGGGGGGCGCACACAGTTTACAGTACAGGTAAGGGGGGAGCGACATAAAAAGTTTGGGGACCACTGACTCATGGTCAGATAGCTGTATACAGCAGAGAAGTGCAAGAGCCTGAGGAAACCTTCCCCACAATAGGCCACAGAGCACCATGGCCACAGCAGTGTCTGCAGTGCGCTTTCAGGGGCCGGAGGGATGACTGACTAGCTATTATCTCTGTAGTGGCAGATCCACCAAACCCCCCCACCCCAACCCCAAAACACCATGCATGTTGGAAGCCTCTGCCACATTCTGGTCCATGCAGGTCACTACCTCTTACGCAGAGTCTTGGAATCCTATTTATTTATTTCCACACCCAACAGATGCACACAGGTTATGCTACAAGTAGGGCCCTCTGGTTTGAGCAGGGAGTACATGATTTGGCTCCTGGTGTGCACCCATCGCCACAGCAACGGAGCACATACCAGACAATTGTATAATGTAGACATCAGGAAAAAGTAAGGGATAAAGACAATGCCTCAGACCAGGCTTTACAAATGAAACCCAAGAAAATGACACTGGAAGGAGAGGAACAGCTGCCATGCAGTCACCCTAAGCTGAACCTCTAAGTGGGTGGACTGCTAGATTCTGCGTCAGCTGAAGCTGCTGACTGTTTTTCAACAGTAACCCCAATAGTAGCACTTGGCAGCAAGTGATAATCATAACCCAAGGCAACGCAAGGAACTGAACTCTTTACACTGCCTAAGTTGCTAGTGATTACCCACTACAGCAGGATAATTAGAACCCTAAAAGCCTGTACCCAGATCCTGGCATGCAAGTGGAAAAGGAACTGATGAGAAGCAGTTTGATTTTACAATGAATTTATTTGCAATTTTAAGCCTACACATGCTCTTAATGATCTGGGAACTCCGTTTATTTATTTATTTATTTTTTTAAAGATTCAGTTCACCTTTCAGCTACGTTTAAACTTCCACTTTTCCTGAAAAGCTGCCAAGATGTTAGCAAATACAGTTTACACAGGTGATAAATACTTCCCCCATAGGTGTATGCATAAGCGCTAAATACACTCTTCATTCTAAAGATTATTAAGCAATAGCAGCTCACACTGGAGGGATGCTGTATCTATAGGAGATTAGGGCATGGACGAGGACTAGGTGGATAAGGTTCAACCCAGACAAGCCCAATGGAACACTGGTAGATCCGAAAAAGCAATCGGGAAAATTGACGACAACGATTTTTGCACCTCTGACTGAGGCTGGCACTTGTCACTGAGTTTTTCAGTCTGAGGATCTTGAAATATCTTGGGCTGCTCCTGCCTGGGACAAACGTCATTTCGTTTTCATCTGTGCGATGTGACAGTTTCATCCAAAAGCTCACCTTGTTACAGTCACCCTGAGATTAGATGTGAGCAATATGATCTACACGGTGCTTTAACTTGGGATCATCTAGGAGCCTTCTGCACTAGCTCCTATCTGATTATTACACAGGGTTTAGCAGACAGAGCATAACATCAGTGTTCCAAAATTTGCAGTGACTGCTTATTGTCCTCTGGGTTGAGTTCTGGCTGTTGATTTGGACCAACAAAGCCCTACATGGTATGAGATATGCCTACCTGGGAGACTATCTGCCCACCCATGCGATACAGCCACAATTGCAATCAGCGGAGGTGTTTAGGTTGATTTAAATGGGAGGCGGCTACTTGCAGGGCATTCTCTGTGAGAAATCCTGTATTCTGGAACTTGCTTCCCACCACAACCTGGATTCATTAACCTTCAAGGCATGCTAAGAGACCATGGGCTCCCCACTGCCACCAATGGGCTCAATCAAGGGGGTAGGTTGAAGGATAAGGATGCAGTGTGAAAGCTACAGAGAGATCACTCTGTCCTCTGAAACTTGAGCAAACACAACCATTAAGCACCAGACTAAAGCTACATATAAAAATCAATGCACCAGTAGTAACATGGGAAACGTACTTGTTTCACTTTATCTTCAAAATCTGCATCATTCTTATCATAGATCATCTGAGCGAGGCGAATCTGTTCTGCTGTTGCCTGAAAAGTGCAAATATCCAGTAAGGGTTCCGACAAATTTAATTAAAATATAAAACAAAAACTTTTGACTGTACTCATGTAATATCCCTCCCACTGCCAACACACACCAAATTTTTTGAAGAGGAATACAGGGAACAGGCTCAGAAGTTACATGAGGAAGGAACTAAAAAGGCCTCATCTAAACCAGCTTTAAGGTAGGGGAGAGGGTATGTCAAGGATAAATTCATCTACACCACAATCGTGACATAGCCAGGGAATCTAGATCAGTCCTAACCATGCCCCTGTAACAGAATAAAAGTCCTACAGAGTCCAGGGGCTTTCACCTTGTTGTAGGGACAGCTTCCATCTACACTACAGCTTTGTCAGTGTGTAACCAAGGCCCTGGACTGTGCTATAGTATTAGGTCTCACATTTTCACTTGTGAACAGTCTCACTTGTTTTCCCCGTACGCGCTAAGCTTGTTTCCTTTGTCTCTCAATCTGTCACTGAATAATTTTGTTAATGGCTGTTTTTGTTGTTGGAAAGGTTGGTGCTTTGGTTATAGGTTTGGACAACAGACCCACACTGGTAATTTGTCGGGAACCCCGAGAGCCAGACTCGACTGGCATAACATGGAGCAGACTGCAGCTGCCCTCATCTTTCTGGTGAAGCAGCAGCCGCCCATGGACATTAGTGGCCACATCATGTAATGCTACATTTTGATCCATCATGTGGCTTTCAGGGATCTATAGCTTCTGTGGGATAAACCTGTAAAGGAAAAATGAAGGGGGCTTTGGGCCACCTTCTTCTCATGGGCCTCATTCCATTCCCTCCCAAAACAGGAAACCTTTTCTACCTGCTGGATACTAAACTGAATGCTGGGGACATGACTGAGGTCCCAAGTTGATGCTGACACATTGAGAAAGAGTTCTTAGTGAAAAAGGGGATCATATCTATCCATGGAAGAACACAGGTGAAAACCCACTGTTGAAGGTGAATCTCATTACTAGAGGCCACCTCAGAAAGGCTGCACAGTAAAATTCTATTCCTTGGCTGCGAGTCAAAGCAGCCAACACCTCTTTCAAGAAGAATGCCTGTGCTGTTAGGTGTTTACCACAAGCGCACAATTTAAAGGAGGCAGACGGCTATCACTCCTGCAACAAGTCTAAACACTGAGTGGAAGAGTTTAAAAATGGTTTTCAACAAACATCACTCAGCTGCTGACTTACTGAGGAGTCACTGCAGCTGTCCCAGTTCCTTGAGGAAAGTGGCATATGCAGCGATGAAAAGTCAGATTCCAGGCTGCAGGACAATCAATTTGTACTGATAACAGGACTTAGTCCTTTACATTTTCAAGGTGTCGTACGTACATGATCCTCACAGAGTAAGTCGGTGACAGAACAGAGAGTATTCAGGAGCTCTTAACCCCAGGCTAGCACCAAATGCATGTAAGCACATACCAGTAAGCTTTTAGGCACGTTTATTGTAAAGGAGCAAGGTCCACCAATAATTTTAGGAACAAAGTCCCGATAAGCCCGAGCAAGTGGTTTTTACTTATCTAGTGGCACAATACTCCTGTCATACTAAGGCACCTGTTTCCCCATTTCTGATAACCTACCCACTAATTTATCTCAGTGAAGAATTTAGACAGTAATCACAACAAACAGTAGCATTCCTGAACAGAGACAACTATTTGACCAGAAACAAGAAACAAGAAACCAGTTATTTTATCCCTGCTCAATACTTTTAAAGAAAACCAACCATTGTTAGATAAAAAGCAAAATCTTTTGGAACTTGACTGTAATACAAGATGTGACACATCCACAAAGAAAAACTGGAAATAAAGGCCTTGTCTACACTAGGATTTTTTGACTTGCAAATCTCAATGGGTGCAACACCACTAGTGTCAGTATCAATAGTATCTGTATGTACACCGAGTTCAGGAATTTAACCATTGTCCTATTACCCAGAGTTAGAAGACAGTGGTAAAATCTCCTGAACCCTGTCTGTACTACAGCTATCATCAGTGGAGCTGCACACATTTTGAATTAGGAGTCCAAAAAAAACACAGACAGTGTTACCAAACCAGCGTTAGTCATGGGAAGTGTCGCTTTCAATATCTGCAGTCTGGTTTGCCCTTATTGAATAAGTGTCAACTCTATAACTAGCATTGTATTAGCCCACAAAAGGTTGCGCCGTCATTTTTAGTTCTTATGACTAATAAACAAGACAGCTAAGTTCTACCTGTCTGAAAAACCTTGATCTTCACAGTAACAATCACAAAACACACTCATAGGGATTTTTAATTATCTGTCTTACTACCAACACAAAAAAATCAGAGAGCAAAAAAACCCACAAAATCAAGTAACAAAAATGTTACAAACCCAGTGTAACAGTGATACCATTCAGAGGAAGGAAAAATGTGTAATGTAATTTCTTATACAATTCAAATTAAGATCAGCATTACACTGTGGGGTTTTAAGGTGATTTCCGAGGTTAGCAGCATCCTCTCAATTCAGAGAAATGAATAAACAGTGACCACAAAGTAAAATACAGCACATTTCTGTGGGTTTGTAAGCTCTTCCATGCAAAAGTGCCAATGTGATATCTGAAGACAGCACAGAGAGAACAGGACAGTCACCAGTACTTATAATAAGCAATTCTTCAATTGACCAAACCAGCATCATCTTATGAAAAGGGAGGAGAGAAGAATTTAGACACCACATGGGAAAACTCAGAAGATTTACTGTATCCAAGCTGTCAGGTTATAAAAATAAAGCTTCTCCCCATGAAAACCACTTTCTGGATCTGTGCAGTTGAGCGAGACACCAAGTTCAAGACTTACGAATGCAAATCAGAGGGGGGAACTTGGGGTTACATGGTAAAAGAGACTACTATATGCCGTAGAAAGTCAGCCTCTCCATACCACAAGTCAATCCAAGAGCCAAGAAGAGGCACCATTCCCCAGGTGAGCACCAGTAGCCTATTGCATTTTAGGATATGGAGACCTAAGACAGACAGACAGGCTCTTGTCAGCCCAGCAGAACAGTCGGGTAACTCCTGAATGAATGCCAGATTTTCAGAAGTGCTTAGCATCCAGCAGCTCCCAATCTGTTTTGAAAATCTGGCTATTAGTGCCCGGCTTCTCTTTCCCTCCCCGACCCTGATGGACTGGCCTAGACCATCACTGCAGGGTTGCTGAGCCTCTAAACAATGGAAAGATGGCCTAAGTCCTTCATAGTCAACAGTGTCAACCTCAATGCCCTCAAAATGCAAATCTTTTTTTAATCTTCATTGTACCACTTCCTGTGAGTATACCCCACCTGACAGGTCTTCGGAAGCTTTCTGGATCCTGCTGCCGATGCCTTTTTGAGTGTGGTCTTTATTGGCCACTGAGAGAAGCTTCGCTCATCCACCCAAGCTCCAGCACTAACTACAGATCCTCTAGCACAGTGGTTTTCAACCTATTCACCATTGCGGACTGCATACGCAGCTCTCTCTGTGTTTTCTGGGCCGGATACACACAATATATATTCTACCTGTATGGCCCTGAGGATGTCACGGGCCACAGCTGTATGCTCATTGGGCTGCAAGCGGCCCGCGGGTTGAGAACCAGTGCTCTAGCATCAAGATTCTAGCCTCTGGACAGTAGAAAGAGCTGAAGTCTGAAAAGATGTGAAGAGTCCATGGGATAAGATCCTGGCAGAAGACTAGCAGACAGCCTGCAGTTCCTTGCTGATCTGGAGCACTCCTGAAGAACGCAAGACTAGGGTGGATGTAGGAATAGAGATCCCAGACTTGAAGCCAGCAAGCAGTTTGCTCAGTAACCCAATACAGTATTAAAATACAAGCTACTGGACATGCTCGCCAAACTGATGCAATGCTTTCTTCCCTCCCCCACTCTCAGTCTTTACTAAACCTAGGACAGCGGTTCTTAAACTATGGGGTGGGCCTCCCAAGAGAGGCGAGGGAATGTGTCAAGGGAGGTGCGAGCTGTGTACTTACGTTTTTTGGGGTGGGATGGGGGAAAGTGCTCTAGCTGTCAGCCCCAGGTGGCTGGTCCTCATACAGAAAGGCTGAGCACACCCAGGAGGCTGGGATAAAGGGGACAGCCGAAGCCCCATCACTTGGGCTCTCCCCTCCACCCTCAATCCCTCACCTGGAGGCAGCTCAGGCTCTCCTTCCCTCCCCCCATTCCCTCACCGATAAGCATCCTGGGCTCAGGCTCTCCTTCCTCTCCCGCCCCATCCCTCACCTGGAGGTGGCAGGGCTCCAGCTCTCAGCCCCGCGGTGGCAGCAGCAGCACAGAAGTAAGGGTGGCAATGGGCACCAAGTCTGCTGTGACAAGTGATATTGACGTATACCACTTTTCATATTGCCTTCCTTACTTCTGTGCGGGGCTGCCTTCAGAGCTGGGCACCCGGCCAGCAGTCACTGCTCTCTGCTGTGCCTTCAGAGCTGGGTGGCGGTATATATACTTTTGGGAGGGGGTAAACAACTACAGACACAAAGAAGGGGACCCAATCAAATAACTTTGAGAACCACTGACCATGGGGATGGTTGCAGATCATAATATGGCATTTACTCTCAACCTGAGGGACAGATGTTACACAACACCTACCTGTACTACTTGTTTCTGTGGTTGTGTTGGCTGTGTGGTTGAAATCTGTGTTTTGTCCCGAGTGCCCCGGGTACGTTCACTGCCCACCGAAGTCATCATATACAGTATATACAAAACAATGTATGTACAAAATAGAAAATCTGAAAGAAAAGGAAAAAACATATCAGCTGGTTAAGGCAGGATACATATGCTTGAACTACCAGATATATTACACATCCAAACTCAAGGAAGAAGGGTAAATTCATCCACAAGATTTATTGCCTGTCTCTTACCATAAAGGCATGAAAATAGATATACAACTTTTTCAACTGGCTAGGTGCATAACTGCATACACAGAAACAACTACTGTGAGTACTTAGTCAAAGGGCAAATTCAATGCATAACTGGCCATCAGCGAGCACAAATATTCTAAAGTGCATCTGCAGAAGCTACATACAGAAATTAGAAACACTGCTGCATGCCCAAGTTTTTGAAATACAGGTCTACAGTAATTAGGAGCCTTTTTTAGAGGTTACCTAGGAATTTTATAGCTAATCCTATTATTGCTATATCCTGGTCTAATTAGTATTTTTCACCTTCTTCCTCCTCTTCCATTTACACATAAATACAATTTTTATTGACCAAGATTGAACTCAGCCATTAAGATTTCTGATGTGATAGTTAAAATGTATTCAATAGATTCTGAAGAGAAACACAGTATTTCCTGAACTCTTACATATTTAATTGGAAAAAGGCTGCCTTTACCAGGAATTGACTGTAGCATGATCTGAACAGGAAGACTGTGTTTCACCTGGTTTTATGAAAAGGTTTGCCAAAGCCAACCTGTCCTTCAGGCTAAATTTGTCTACAGCGCTCCAACATGTATAAACCCTCACAGTAACTGCACTTTTACATTCAAAAGATCCAAATCAAAACAGAACACATGTAATTCAAGCTCAGCTGGCAGTCTGATCTACATGAAAACTAACCTACTAAGTAGTAGTGGGCACCATTTAAACTAAAAAGTGCATCAATTACATCACACGCTACCTCGTCTTAGCTGTTCAGTAATACTTCAAATACGCATTGCAAGACAACAACCTTCAGCAGGGTTTAAAGTAATTTCCTTTGATAAAAGTTCTCTAATAGTAAACTTGCAAATCTTTTATATGCACTCGCACTTTTTTACACAAATAGCTTTTGAACTATACTGCCTGGAAAAAACAGTTAGTAGCCCTCTGAATTCCAGTACACTGAAGATTTAAGTTCAGGTAAACTAATTACACCTTTGAGTCACTTTTGTTTTGTACTGCCCAGGACATCACAATTTGAATCCAACTTATAAGCAATGAGTAAGGTCCTACGTACACAGAGTCTGGAAAAAGCATTACTACATTTCAAAGACGAAGGTGGATAGTTTCACACTTTGGTACTTGACGTTACGCACCTAAATAAAACAATGGGGCCATTTTGATTTAAGAGGTGCTGCACACCTGCAACTCCCACCGACTCCAACTTGAGTTGTGTGGACTCAGCCCCCATAAAGCCAGCCCATTTTTGTTTAGGTGACTAATTAAAGATTTGGGTCCCTAAAGCTAGGCACTCACTTGAAATGTTGTCTAAATCTACTTGCACTAAATAAGCCCGTCTCTATATTATGGAAACATCCAAGTTTAACATATGGCTGGGGCTCAGCTATTTTAGAACATGGTTTCTTTTTGTCTGTACAAACATAAAACAGATTTAACCATGTTAAAGAACCAGGTTTTAACCTTCAGATGCCTAGGCTAACACAGAGTTCCTTATAATAGAGTTATAACCTTTTTTTAACTGCCCACGCAGACCAAAATAAGCCATTTTATTACACAGCTGTGCCACAACCACCTTTCACAACCATGTTTACTTTTCCAGTGTGAAACAACTTAAACACACACACACACACACACACACACACAGAGCATAGTTTTAATTCTATTGGGAAAGCAAGCTGTACAGCATGGTTTGGCCTGCCAGCATGCACAAAGACAAATACTGGTAGTGTTATAACAGAGGTTGTTTTGAAGTGTTAGCCCAGATTAGAGACCTATATTAACAAGCTATTTTTTAACCCAGTTATAACTCAGCTTGACCCCATCCATGCTGACCAGCAAGCCACTGTTATAACCTGGCTCAGCTGCAAGCAAGAACAATCATGCTTAGAGTCTAGGGTTGCCAACTGTCTAATCGGCTGCCCCCCAGCACCGCAGCCGGGGCTGGGCCAAGCCGCTCAGGGACTGCAGCAGGGCGGCTAGAAGCAGCAGGGCCATAGCGGACAGGGCGCTGCTGTGCGGGGCCCACATCCCACTCTCCGGGGCTCCGCTCCCTCTGGGGCTACCTTGCCCCGGCTCCTCAGCCCCCTGCCGGGGCAGTCCCCCAGCTCTGCCCTCCTGGGTCCCGGCCGGTCCTGGAGGTGGGAGCCCTGGCTGGAGGGACCCTGGGCTGAGGCGCAGCCCGGGAGCCCCGCTGCTTTCCTTGATCGTGCCAGCACTGGACCGGGGGGGAGCGGGCAGAGTCAGCACTGGTGGGGGGGAGCCCAGGGCTGGGGCGGCAGGGGGTGTGGGTGGGGTGGGGGGAGAGCCCAGGGCTGTGGCGGAGGAGTGAGAGCCCAGGGCTGGGGTGGGGACAGCCAAAAATTTTTTTGCTTGGGGCGGCAAAAAATCTAGAGCCAGCCCTGGGGGCAAGAGGGGGTGTGGGCTCTGGGAGGAAGTTTGGGTGCGGGAGGGGGCTCAGGGCTGGGGCAGGGTGCAGGAGGGGTGAGGTCGCTTACCTTGGGCAGCTCCCAGAAGCAACCGGCATGTCCAGCTCCTAGGTTCAGGGGTATCCAGGCAGCTCTGCACACTGCTCCTGCCTGCAGGGGCAGCCCCCACAGCTCCCATTGGCCACGGTTCCCCGCCAATGGGAGCTGTGGAGTTGGCACTCGGGGGGTGGGGAGGAGGGCAGTGTGCAGAGACCACCTGGCCGTCCCTGTGCTTAGGAGCCAGAGGGACATGCCAGTCGCTTCTGGGAGCCATGTGGAGCCTGGGCAAGTTGGGCGCCTGCCGTAGCACCGCTGCGCCGCCGACCAGACTTTTAGCAGCCTATCAAACTCTCCCGGATTGGTGTCAGTAGCCACTGGGAGATGAATTGCGATTCCTGGAGACTCCCGGTCAATCCAGGAGGGTTGGCAACCCTATTAAGAGTCACAGGGTACATCTACACAGCAAAACACAACAAAGAAAAAACGTGGCAGCAAGGCTCAGAGCCTGGGTCACCTGACTTGGGCTCACGCTATGGAGCTAGAAACAGCAGTGTAGATGTTAGGGTGCAGACTGAAGCCCAGGCTCTAAGTCCTGGCAAGGGGGGAGGGTCTCAGAGGCCAGGCTCCAGCCCATACCCTAAGGTCTACACTGCTATTTTTAGCCCTATTGCACAAGCCTGGGTCAACTGACCCAGGCTCAGAGACTTGCTGCAGCAGGGTTTGATTCTGTTTGTTTGTTTGGCTGTGTAGATGTACCCAGAGTTTAATGACAGAAGGAACTGTCAGATCATCCAATCTGACCTCCTGCACATTCACAGGCCACTAAACCCTACACTGTTACTCCTGCATTGAGCCCAGTAATCTGGATTAGAATAATGTATTACAGCCCTCCAGAGGCTAAAATTTAAGCATGTTTCTTAAAAACCACAGTTGAAAGCCCTGTGGAGATGGAACCTTACAAATAAAAATTACAGTTGAACCTCAGAGTTATGAACTGACAAGTCAACCACACGTCTCATTTGGAACTCAAAGCATGCAATCAGGCAGCAGCAGAAACCAAAAAAAAAAGGCAAATACAGTAGATTACTGTGTTAAAGGTAAACTACTAAAAAAATAAAGGGAAAGCAGTACTTTTCTTGGGCATAGTTAAGTTTCAAAGCTGTGTTAAGTCAAGGTTCAGTTGTAAACTTTTGAAAGAACAAGCCAGGGTGTCAATCTACAGCACAGTGAAAGTACCAGAGTGCAGTTTAGCGTACTGCCAGGACTTTTACAGTGCTGTAGCAGTGTACACACAGCGCGTTAGCACACGGCAAACTGGCATGCTGTAGATTCACACACCCTGGCTTGCTGCGCACTAACTCACCATGTAGACAAGCCCTAAGAAACCATGCTTTAAATGGTTTTATTGCACCACTGCACCCTGTGTGTTCCAGCCAAGGAAACACAGCACCTTTCTAACAACAACAGGGTTAGAGCCATGCTCTACATCAGGGGTCAGCAACCTTTCAGAAGTGGTGTGCCGAGTCTTCATTTATTCACTCTAATTTAAGGTTTCACGTGCCAGTAATACATTTTAACGCTTTTAGAAGGTCTCTTTCTATAAGTCTATAATATATAACTGAACTATTGTTGTATGTAAAGTAAATTAGGTTTTTAAAATGTTTTAGAAGCTTCATTTAAAATTAAATTAAAATGCAGAGCCCCCCGGACCGGTGGCCAGGACCCGGGCAGTGTGAATGCCACTGAAAATCAGCTTGCGTGCCGCCTTCGGCACATGTGCCATAGGTTGCCTACCCCTGTTCTACATAGATGCTAACATTACTCCCTAACTCAGCATAGATAGGCCCCCAGCTGTATCACTTTGTCACTAGAATTTCACCAACTCCCACAATCATCCTTTACAGTGGTATAGTAAGAAATACCAGGATGGCAACAGAGACCTGCTGCTTTCTAAACCAGAGGTTAGTGTGGTGCTAAGAATTTTCAGTATTAAGTGGATATTGCTAATTATTTAAGATGTGGTTTAACAAGAGCCTCTCTCCCTCACAGACTGGCTTCTCCTTCAGCTTGATCCTGCAGGTTAGTCAAATCCTTTTGACAGCCTGTTGCCATGGAAATGACCAGTATGTCACAAATTCAAGCATCACATCTTGACTGCAAGATCAAGTGAGGAGAAGATGGGCTGGGAGGGATAGAATGCCTGGTTAAAGATCTATTCGGGAAAGTTACAAAAAGCTGACAAATGGATTTGTGTGTCAGTACAGTCCACATTGATGTCTGGCCCGGTGTGAAAATCTCTTGATTGCAGTTCATATTTGACCTTGCAAAGACAAGTATTCCAGATACACTGCTGCTCCAATATGCACCTGGAACAGCTGTTTTTTA